GCAGTGTGTTTCATCAGTCTGCCTGTTCTGCTCCCCGCTTTTTCTCTGGTGAATCCTCTCACCCTCTCGTACATCTGGCCTGTACCCCAGAACTTGTATAAATAAAAAATAATAAAAAAAAATCTTTAAAAAAAATGAAGGCAATATGACTTTTTCGTACTAAAAGAATCATCACTAACATATGAGAATTATAAGAAATGTTAATGGAAATACTTTGGGTAGAAGTAAAATATGCCACATAGAGAATAGGTAGGGATGAAATTACCAAAAATGGTACTCTGTGATACTAAATATTTTTATTCAAAATAAAAAAATTTATTCAAAATGATAATTGATTATTTAAAGGAAAAAAAAATGTATGTTGGGATTTCTTCCCAAATAGTACATAGACTCGGGGAGGAAATGGAAATATACTGTTGTAAGCTTATTATACTAGGCAAATAATATCATAAACTATGATATTACTTGAAGGCAGACTGAATAGGTTGAAGATGTTTATCATAAGAACATGAAACAGAAGTAGAGCTAATAAACTAAGAAAGGAGGTAAAGTGAAATGATGAGAATAAACTAACTTCAAAAGAAGGTAGAAAAAGCAAGAACAAAGACCAGACGAACAAGACCAGTAGGAAATAAATAACACAATAGTTTATTTAAACCTAACTGTTGTGGGCTGAACTATGTTCTCTCCACCACCTCCCAATTTCATATGTTGAAATCCTAACTCTCAGTACCTCAGAATATGATAATATTTGACAATAGGGTCCTCAAAGAGGTAATTAAATTAAAGTGAGATTGTTAATGTGGGCCCTAATCCAGTATCACTGGTGTTCTTATAAGAAGAGGAAATTTGAACACAGGCACACAGAGGGAAAACAAAGGGGGAAGATAATTATCTAGAAGCCTAGAAGAGAGGGCTCAGAAGAAACAAAACTTTCCAACACTTTGATCTTGGACTTTAAGTCTCCAAAATTGTAAGAAAACAAATAAGTCACCCAGTCTGTGGTGCTTTGTAATGACAGCCTGAATAGACTAATGCACTAATCATATCAATAATGATATTAAGGGTATTTACATCAAAAGTAATGTGCATGTTTTCAATAAAAAAAAAAAAAGACAAGATGAAATGGAAACTCATCTATCCTGAAAAAAAAAAAGGGTATTTACATCATAGGATTTCTGTATGATTGAGTTAATCCACCTTAATATATTAGAATGATAAATGCTTAATAGAGTTCACTACTATTATTTTACCATCTAACTTAGTCTTTTCTATGCATTTGTTTTTTTATTTTTTAAAAAGATTTATTTATTTATGCATACAAGAGCTGGGATACAGGCCAGAGCTGCAGGGGGGTGGTGGTGGTGGTGGTGGTGGTGGTGATGGTGGTGGTGGTGAGAGGATTTACCAGAGACAGAGTGGGGAACAGAACAGGCAGACTGACTGAAACACACTGCTGAGGGGAGCAGCGGGTGAGACAGGAGAGCTCTTCTTCGCCATGTGGTTGCTCCCTGGCAGGCTGGGAATCGAACTCGTGCTGCAGAGGCTGTGGATTGCTTCATAGTTCGGTGCTTAACCCCTTGCACCACCAGGGAGGCCCCTTTTCTATGCATTTCTAGGGCAGTTCCAAAAATACTAAATTTCCTTTCTAGCCTCTTGACAAAATTACTTCAAGATGACTTTACATGTAAATATGTGGTTCAGTTCTGTGAACACTCTAATTTCTTGCTTTGTTTTACTTGAAATGCCTGCCATGCAAGAATGAGCCCAACCAAGCATTGAGGGTGAGTAATCTGTGCTTGGTTTTTTCAGCCCCTTATTACCTGCCCATCTGGTACCTGCACCTTGGTTAAGCACCTTTCAAACACAATTATGCTGGACAATTTTTATGTGTATGAGCACAGAAGGTTGAATACATGTTTCACTGTCATTTCTGTAGAGGCACATGAGTAGAGTTAAGTGACAGAACAGTTTTTTGGTCCTGATGGTGGTGAATAAGATGATAGAAGTAAGGGGTGGCCTGAGTGATGGGCAGGTACAAAAGCTAATATGCTCTTGGTTGCAGAAAATGGCAACCCCAAAATTCTTAAACAATGAAGATATTTGGTATGACACATAACAGAACACATATGTTCTGGAATAGATCCTTCAGGGTTGGTTGATTCAAGGCTCAACAGTGTTATCAAGATCTAGTTTCTTTTCATGTCTCTGCTCTACTGTCCTCAGTGTTGACTTCATCCTCAGGATATGAGTAAGAAAGTTGTGACAATTCTAGATGTCATATCCAGAAACAGCAATTTCCAGAAAAAGAAGAGACATGGTCTCTTCCTATGGTTTTCTGCCAGAAGGTACAAACCCTCCTCCCCTCAAATCTCCCCTCATTATTGGGTCATATACCCACTCCTGACACAATCACATGGGGAATGGGATTGGCCACCCCATGAGATGGAGGTGAGGTCAGCATTCTGTGAACATGTGGATTAGTGGGATGCTATGGGCTGAACTGTGCATCCTCCCAAATTCACATGTTGAAGGTTTAACCCTAGTTCCATAGACTGTGACTGTATTCTAGGGCAGAATCTCTAGAATAATGTAGTAGGCTTCTCTTTTGTTGACACAACTACAACTCCAGAGCTTAGCATAGTGCCTGGCATGTTGTAGGTGTGTCACAAACATTTATTGAATGAGTAATTTAGCTGGGATGGCAAATTAGCACATAACTGGCTCTAATTCAAGAGTGAATGAATAAAATGCTTTAATAAAGATAAGGGCAAATGCAAAGAGAGTGCACTGGAGCAGGTAAGCAAGGAGACATGGCACTGAGTCTATAAATCACCCCAATCCCAGAGTGCATCTTAACTTCTTGTGCCAGCAGGGAGGCCCCTTATTTAACATTTTTGAGGATATTTCCAATTTTTCTTTGGAATGAAATTGTTAGAGATATTCTTAGATATTCTTAGATATTCAAAAGGCATGTGCATTTTCAAAAATAAGGCTTTTATTTCAGAATTGTTCCCTCTATTACTAACACCTCACATTAGTATATTTGTCACAATGAACCAACATTGAGAATTATTAATTGAAGACCATACTTTGTCAAGATATATTTAGTTTTTTAACCTAACGTCCTTTTTCTGTTCCAGCATCCCACCTGGGGCACCTCACTGCATTTGGTTGTCACATATCCTTATGCTTCTCTTGGTTATAAGAGATTTTTAGACTTTGCTTGTCTTTGATGATCTTGACAATTTTGAGCAATAATGGTCACCCACTCTGTAGAATGTCCCATAATTGGGTTTATCTGACTTTTTCCTTATAATTAGACTGGGGTTATGTTTTTTTTTTAAGATTTATTTATGTATACAAGAACTGGGGTACAGGCCAGAGGTATTGGAGGTGAGAGGATTCACCAGAGACCGAGTGGGGAACAGAACAGGCAGATTGACCGAAGTACACTGCTGAGGGAAGCAGCAAGCGAGTCAGGAGAGGTCTGCTGCGCCATGTGGGTTGCTCTCTGGCTGGCTGGGGATCGAACTTGTGCTGAAGTGGTTGTGGAGAGCTTCACAGGTTGCGTCTTAACCCCTTGCGCCACCAGAGAGGCCCGGGGGGTTATGGTTTTTGAAAGTAAAGTACCAAAAAAGATACTCTCATCATATAGTGCACATATTATCAACATGATCCACCACCACTTATAGTAAGTAACCGTCACCGCTGGGGTGAAGTAATGTTCGTCAATTTCTCCATTGTTTCTCCATTTCCTCCCCTTCCCTTACTGTACACTGGGAAGTTACTCTGCACAGCCCTGATTTATGGAATTGGGAGTTACCATGATGGCCTACCTATATTTATTATTTGAAATTCTTCTGTATCAGAAGACTCCTAACTCTCCTTCCTGATTTAGTCATATCAGTATTCATATCATTAATTCACATATGTCATCATGAAAACACAAATTTTTTAAAATACTTTGTTATAATCCAATTCTATTGGACTATTTATTATTTGTTATGTTGCTCAAAACATGTTCATTTTTAATACTCTTATAACAGGGTGGTCCCCAGGAGAGCAGGAGGTTCCAGGTTTTCTGCCCTACCCAAAAGGAGGGTGGAGCTAAGCAGAGAAAGAAGCTGCAGAGGAGACTGAGGAAGGAGGGAAGCAGGATGGAGAGCCAGAAGGGGACCTGGAGGAGGTACATGGAGCAGAGAGAGACACCTGAAGAAACTAAACTTGCATTTTGGTCGTGGACTGGGTGACACAGATGTGGGTGAGACCTGTGGGGAGATGACAATGGCAGTTTTTGTCTTGATTTTTGATTTTGCTCTTTTCCTCCGGACTTGTCTGGTTGTTTCTGATCCTTTTCTATGGGTCCCCACTGGAAGATGCTTTAGACTTGTGGCAGGCTTTGGGGCCTTGCTCTGGGCCAATCCTGCTTGGGTGGAGTTTTACCCTCAAGGGGACGGGTAACTTTGGGTGCTTGATCTAGAAACTATATTCTTTGCCCTTCCTGTATTATTTCCTAAGTGTATTAAAGTTCTTTCCCATTAAAGTCTCATATGTTTTGTGTTGATGTGGCAGATAGCAGAGCTTATTTAGAGCAGGCAGGTTTGTGGGGTCTGGGGTGCCCCTCTCCCTGCCTGTAACACTGAATAACCCCAGGGCTCCCCTTCTAAAGGACATATCAACTCTCAGGGTTAAGAGAGGGTCCATTTGCCCTCGACTTCACACACCCTTTATAAAATCAGGTCAGCAAGGCAGGGCGAGACCCAAGCTCCGCCTGCACCCAATTTCCCGACGCCCCCAGGGAAGACTGCCCAGGTACTGCCCAGCCCGCGCACCGCCCCCGGGACCCCTGCCTCTTCTCCCGGCTTCCCCGCAGCCCCACCCGGAAGTCGACCGGCCTCGGGCCGGAAGCGCAAGGCCGGGGCGGGGCCTCTGCTCACTCAGCTCCGCCCACAACGCCACGCCCCACCCCTCCGGCCCAAACCGGAAATGAGGTCAGAGAGGGAAACCCTGGCGGGGAGACTCGGCCCCCAAAGCGGAGGCCGTCTGAGGTGTCCGCGGCAGCCGGTGAGGGGGAGGAGTGAGTTGAGAAAGTCGGGGTTCGGGGGCCTGCGCCAACGGGGGTCGGGCTCCGGGCCGCGGCCGAACGGCCGGGGGCGCCTGGGGCGCGCGGCCGCGGCGGGAGGAGGGCGGTGGCGGGGCCTGGCTCGTCAGGGCCCGGCGTCCGCCGCCCGGGGTGAGGGTCGCGCGGTCCCCGGAGCCACAGCCCCCCCCCCCCCCCCCGGGCCTTTCTCTCTGGTTCTTCCCGGCCGGCGACTGAGCGAGGCGTGGACCGAACCCTGGAGGCTCTAGTCCTCGGGGGCGGCGGGGATGTGGGGGCGCCCTTGGGAGGCGCTTTGCCCACACAGATGCCGTGTTGCGACCCTGCTCTGGAGGCGCCTAGTCGCCAGAACTTGATATTTGGCAGTTTCTGCCCAGACCCCCTGCTGCTGGTGAACCCACAGGAGAAGTTGCCTCTTGCTTTCCCCCCGGCCCCCCTGTCCATCCCCTCTGCCCTGTTCCCCAATCCCACCCGGGGTTCCCCCTCTGAGCCTGACCCTGCGCTGCCTGCTTCTGGCACTTTCCTATTTATTCCTTCGCGCGAGTCGGCCAGGCTTTCCTCGTCGAGGGTCTGCCTGGACCGAGGGGTTGCTGTCGGCTGTGCACCCGAGACTGGGGGTGTGGGGACCCGGGATCTTCTGTTACCTCGTCCTCGAGTTACAGCCTTTGAGGCAGGAAAGGATTCTGCACAGGGATTTCACTCCAGTCATTTGGTAACTTCGTTCCACGCTCAAGTTTGTATAGTTCTGCCTGAGTTTTTTAAAAAGTAGCAGTTGTTTATTCTGGACGTAGATCTAGACAAGTTGTTCCCCCTTGTTTATCTGTTTTGGTCTTAGGGACTGTTGTCTCCCAAGCCCTAGTTTTAGCGTCTTTAACCATTGCTTAAAGAATTCGAACATGGTCTTTTTATTGTGTGGTTTTTGACCCGTCGAGAAGTTTTATTTGGCTGGTAGTTTTGGAACTAGGTGTCCCAATTGGTCCACAGATGTGGCAGATCAGCCAGCTGACTGTTTTCTTGCTTTTCAAATCCTTGGCATGGGGACAGCATGAAAATAGGTTTTAGAAAGTTCTTTGCAAAATGTAAACTGCTAACGGAAATGTGGTTTGAGACTAGCACCACGCTGAGTTTTCAAGCTCTAATTGTCTTGAAATACTTTGGGCTTGACACGGAATAGGGAAGAAATGTTAATTTAATATGTGTTTGTTTTTTTGTGAATTATATTAGGCATTTCCCTCTAAAAGGGAATTGAGCAATTGAAAATTGCTCCTATTACTCCCATCTTTTGGAAGGTTTGCCTCTGAAGTAGTCCCTAAAGTTATAAGGGTTTGAGAAAAACGGGAAGTTTTGGAAAGCTGTTAGCCAGATATCTGAGAGAGCACCCATCCCTTTCATTTCAACTTCAGTTGTATCCTGGTTTTTTGGTGATTGTCTGGTACTAAAGCACTTGATTAGGATGATCACTTATTTTCTGAAAGATGGAGATATGTTGCTATTATTTAAAAACAATGTAGCTTCCAGGTAGTACTTGGGACCAGAATGGGGCCAAAAAACTCATTTTTCCCCTCCATTCTTTTTTTTTTTTTTTAAGATTTATTTATACAAGAACAAGTGTACAGGCCAGATGTGCAGGAGGGTGAGAGGATTCACCAGAGGCAGAGCAGGGAACAGAACAGGCAGACTGACAGAAATACACTGCTGAGGGGAGCAGCGGGCGAGACATGAGAGGTCTGCTGCGCCATGTGGGTATCTCCCTGGCTGGCTGGGATTGAACTTGCACTGCAGAGGCTGCGGAGAGCTTCACAGCGTTGTGCTCAACCACCTGCACCACCAGGGAGGCCCTCCTCCCATTCTAATGACAGACCTGGGTCACTACAAATTATTGGATCATTTGGAAGCAGTCTTCCTTAAAATGTGCTGTTAAGTTGTCTTTCTGTGCCTGGCCACAAGCATTCTTCTCAGTGACCCCAGGTAGTAAACAGTCCCTTCATCCCTAGTTTTAAAATTGTGTTTTTCTGCTCCTGTATAATGGGACATTTTCTTACCTTTTTAAAGCTTATCACAAAGTAATTTAGTGACAAGTTCAACTGGGTAAGAGGGGAAAACCTATTCCCTTGAGTTTGCTTGTTTTGGGTAATATCCCAGTTGTCATCTGGTGACATTTAGGTTTTTATCTTTAAGAGTATGTTGACTTCAGGCATTTAACAAGGGCAAAACACCTACTTTTTGTGACCTAAGGGAGCGTGGTTGGTGGGAACAGAGTCTTAATTGTAGCCAAATGAAAGGTGACTATTTTCTGTAGGTAGGGTGGACTGCAGTGCCATGATCTCTTTCATAAAGTTATTCTGTAACAACAATCCTGTTCAGGCTTTCTTTTTCTCTTTTTCAACACTTGACAGATGTGGCCTCATGGATGAGCTGGTACATGACTTAGCCTCAGCCTTGGAGCAGACATCTGAGCAGAGCAAGCTTGGTGAACTGTGGGAGGAGATGGCTCTCAGTCCTCGGCAGCAGAGGCGGCAGCTTCGGAAACGGAGAGGCCGGAAGCGCCGTTCAGACTTCACTCACCTGGCAGAGCATACCTGCTGTTACAGTGAGGCCTCTGAGTCAAGTCTGGATGAGGCCATTAGGGACTGTCGAGAAATGGCCCCGGTCACCAATTTTAGTGACTCTGATGACACAATGGTAGCTAAACGGCATCCAGCTCTCAATGCCCTTGTTAAGAGTAAGCAGCATTCTTGGCATGAATCTGATTCCTTTACTGAAAATGCGCCCTGTCGACCACTCAGGCGCCGAAGGAAGGTGAAGCGAGTGACGTCAGAAGTGGCTGCCAGTCTTCAGCAGAAGCTTAAGGTATCAGATTGGAGCTATGAGAGAGGCTGCAGGTTCAAGTCTGCGAAAAAGCAGCGCCTGTCCCGTTGGAAGGAGAATACTCCCTGGACCTCATCAGGCCGCGGGTTGTGTGAATCAGCAGAAAATAGGACTTTCCTGAGCAAAACGGGAAGGAAAGAAAGAATGGAGTGTGAAGCAGATGAACAAAAACAGGGCTCTGATGAAAACATGTCGGAATGGTGAGATCTCCCCTTACTGAGTCAGATTTCCCTGGTGGTTTTACCCAAAACACAAATCCACAGCCCCGATGAATTCAACTTTCTTTCAAACCAGGCCCTGTGCTTTTCCTTTGTAGCCTTCCTTTAACCAACTTGTGTTTCTTTCTAGCTTTTTAAAGTACATTCATGATTCTATTTCCCTATGGCAAGAAGGCTATGTAATAGAAATACATTAGTTTCAAAAAAGTGTTTAAAATGTGTACCTAGAATGTATGATCAAGAATTTTATTTTGAAAACAATTGGCTGTTGTTTATGCTTGTAGCTCATACAAAGGAATTATTCTTTAGAACCAGAGTCTCAGCAGAGGCTGGTGTGTGTGAGAGAGAGAAAAAAATGCTGGTGCCCGGCAAATGGAGTTTGTAAATGTTCCTGGTGAGCTCCCTTTACCTGCTAAGAATCGTGACTAGATACTTCTGGGCTATAATTCTCTTCTCTGCTTCTTATTGTTTGACTGTATTGACTTTTTATGGCCAACAATCAAACACATGGTAGGCCTAGAAAATAACAGTGCTGGATCACATTAATCTTCCACTAAGTCTGATGGACCTGGAAAAGTTTGTCTCTGATGGGCACATGTTTAAAAAGTCAGTATGGTCTTTAGTGACAATTTATTTTTCACACCTCGGATAGATAGTCCTAGGAATATTAATATACCCCAGCTTCATATTTAATAATAACCTGTGATACCTTTTTTCTCTGGGAGGTTGTTACTTGTGTTGCATGGGGCAGTTCTTTGTGGTGAGGGACTGTCCCATGCCTTGCAGGGTATTTCACATCTGCATTGTTCCCAGCCCCCTTCAGAATGTCAATCCTTATGCCTTTGTGGGAGCAGCCTTTGTGGGTGCTCCCTGGTGGGTTGAGTACTTCTGGTTGAGAACCATTGTATTCTACTGTTGCTAATAGTAGTTAGCATTTATTAGGCACTGAGCAACATGCTGGCATGGTACTGTTGTACACAGCTTATGTTCTTTTTTAATGTTCACAGTTGCACTGCATGGTAGGTAGCACTATTTATATTTTCTGGAAGAGACAACACGTTAAGAACTTTTAGGTAACCTGCCCAAGATCATGCAGTGGCAAAAGAATCTGCCCTGATTCTAGAGCCCATATTTAACCACTGTATTTTGCCGCTGCTTTCAGTTTGCCTTTCCGATGGCTCTTTTTCTGTCTCATCTTAACTTTCACAACTGTAGAGCAGATGACCTTTCTTAGGACTTTGCTTTCTTCTGAAATTTGTCTGAAAAACAAAGACATAAATCTTAGGAACTGTGAGGTGAGGCTATGCCAGTAACAGGAAAAGCTGTTAACATCTGATGCCTGGACCTTTCATGAGTGGTTTTTAATCCCCCTGTAAAATTTTTCTTACTATATATTTGGCAGTCTGTACAACTAGACAGGCTTATAATCAGCCTTTTCTAATTTTCTCTCATGTATATTCTGGCCAATTTACACAATTTATGTGTGTAATTTGGATAATATTTTTTTCCTTCTCATCATGCTATTTTTAACTAAAAAGAAAAACACAGTTGATTGTATGTAGCCCTTCACAATATTGAAACCCTCAATTGAGGCATTGAAGTTTGTTTCAATATTGAGTATACTTAACTAATGGTAATTTTCTTATTGTTGAGTATAGTGGTTTTAAAAATAGCCTTCTAGGGCCTCCATGGTGGTGCAAGGGGTTAAGCACTGCACTATGAAGCAATCCACAGCCTCTGCAGCACGAGTTTGATCCCCAGCCGGTCAGGGAGCGACCCACATGGCGCAGCAGACCTCTCCTGTCTCGCCCGCTGCTCCCCTCAGCAGTGTATTTCAATCAGTCTGCCTGTTCTGTTCCCTACTCTGTCTCTGGTGGATCCTTTCACCCCCCACCACCCGCACCTCTGGCCTGTACCCCAGTTCTTACATGCATTAACAAATAAATCTTTAAAAAAAATAAAAATAGCCTTCTGGACTGATAGTTTGTATATATTTCTTGAGCAGAATTAATTTCTTGTTAAAGTTTGATGTAATTTTGTGTCAGGGAGATTGTCTACTTGAAGATAACTGTCCAAGTGTGGCTCCAGAGGCAGAGCCTATAATCTGGTCTCTCCTGTGCCTCTTCCAGAAGACTCATCCAGTGCACATTACAGTCAGACGGATGTGATAACATAAATTCTGGGAGTCTGCATGAATGGAAGTAGGCAACAATTCTTGCACATTCCTCTCTTCTCAAATTGAGGAAACCTTGTTAGGCTATTTGGACTATCTTCCTAGTTTATTACTTCAGAGTTCTTTCAATAATGTGGTGCCAAAGTCCTTGTAGCTATGAGAGAAAATGAGTGTACACATAGAGTAAGAAAAATTCTTTAGAATCTTATTACTTAGCATCTTAAATTCACCTTGACTTAGGTTGATTCATCTGTTGTTAGAAACAGAAGTGCTTGGTATCTTGTCCCCCCAGCCCCCACCGTTCTCCCCACACTCAGCTTCTCAAAGTAAAGTGGAACTAAAATCTTCCTTCCACCCTTGCTTGCTAAGCATACTTTATAAACAAGACTAGCATTAGAGTCTGTTTAAGGAGATAATAGTTTATGATTTGAATATTATACTATCTTGGTGAGATAGTATAATATTCTGAGATAGTATAAATCTTCTGTCAAAATTTTCCTGCTATTTTCTGCATTAATATAGATACTTGGAAGAATCCTTTTGGTTACTTCATAATTCTGTTTGGATATGCTACAGTTTATTTACATGCAGATTGAAGTAAAAGCTTTTTTATCAGTGGTACTGACGGTTGCCAGAATACATGATCCACATCACAGAATTATTAGAATGAAGTTGATTATTAAGCGTAGCTTAGCCTAGTTCTTTAGAAATAGTTGTTTTTTAAAAGCCTGTGCTAGATGTTTCAGGTTTGAAAATATCTCAATCAGCTTTATTTCTGATTTCCTTAATTTTTCTCTGCTAACTAAACATGCAATAGTTTTTTAACATTTGTTTCTGTTCTTCGATTTTATACCAATCAATCCCCTAAGAAACCAAAAATGGTTATGATGTAATAGTTTTATACTTGCAAAAAGATCGAACTTATTTTAATATTTTTCTGTGCATGTGTGTTTGTGAATATTCTAAAATAGAGCAACTCTTTTTTGAAAAGTTGCTTTCTACTGATCTTTATTCAAATTGCCTATATAGCACCTATCAGTTAGGTGATTCATAGTCTCATTATGCTGTATTCTTCACTAACAAATCAACTGTTTGTTCTCCTTGAATGTAGTTTTAGCTTCTATTCTTTCATAAGTGAATTGGTTTGGGTGATGGCCTGAAGTTGCAGTCAGGAGCCTTCCTCATGATGTATTAGAGGCCCAATCTTACAGGAAAGAAAATATTCCCTTCTCTTGGAAGGCAAGTGACAGAGATAGAGTGCTGAACCTTCCCCCTGCCCCAGTCCAAGCTGACCTTCTGCGGCCCCTTGGTGCCTCTTGTTTTCTTATTTTTATAGAAAATCAATATCCCTTCTGACACAAACAATAGCTCAGAAGCAAGAATAAATGGGAGAAAGCTGAGATCTCTGTCCATCACCTCTCACTTTAACTCCCCCAAACTCTTTAATTATGAGCCTGCTTTGCTCCAGGTATTTGTGATGGTGAAATTGCTAAATGAGGACCATTTTAACCAAAGATTGGGTGATCAATAACACTCTATAGCAGTAGCTTGTTGGATCAATAGCATTCATTATTTCATGGTTAAGGTAAGTAGCCTCCTTTGCAAGTGGAGGTCATTAATCAGGGGTTACTGGAGCTGTGGAAAAGAATGTATGTGGTAGGTTGAGGATGTTCTGTTCTGTTCTGTAAATAGGGATGCTGACCAAGAGTATATTTACCGTTCTTGCAGATGGTAGTATTACGTTGGAGAGTATTGAATGCTAGCATAGTGTGCTTATAGAGATCATTTCAGAATTCAACCCCGAACAACTGCAAAAGACAGCTTGCAAGGTGCATTTGGAGATTGTCTCTTAAAGTGTTATGTTTATTGTGTGTGGGGACAGAACAAGGGACTAGGACTCATAGAAAGTTCAGAGTGTTGTCTATGTCAACATAGTGTAACCGTATATTAGTATAAAAGTTTACTTTCTAAAAATTAGAATTCTATAAAAATGAAGTGAGTTATTTCACCAGTAAATTAGTTCTAGATCACGAGGGATTCAGGCATGGGCTTGGCCACTTATGGAGTTATTTTAGAGTTGAGAAAGTTAAGCTAAACAACCTCTGAGGTTCCTTGCAGCACTGAGATTCTGTAATTCTTTTCCATCATGACCACCCTCCTATAGTTGTAATTCATCTTTTAAAAAGCATCTGATAAGCAACCTCAACCCCACTAAAATGCTTTGGAGAACATAAAACATCACAAAGTCACATCTCCAGAAACTAGGACATAGAGTTTACCTATCACCAAGATTTTCTCACGCTGCAGGACTGATGGAACTGTACTGGGGAGTGTAGTTGGAAGCCCACATCCACAGTGCTGAGCCTGCCCTGAAGGTAGAGAGCCAGATCCTGCATCCAAGCTATAATCAGCCCTTCCTTCAGAAACAAAAGGTTAATGTCAGTCAGAAAAGGCAGTTCAGTTTGAGGTGTTGTTCATCCTTTATTTCCTAATAAGTATCTTTGCATTTCTATTTGGAAACTGAAACTCCAGAATACATCTGAATGGGAAACTTAGTGTTTTCTGTGTATTTGTGTTTGGGAGTAGGAGGCAGTAACAGCATATTGAGTTCTGAGAATTACAGAACCTAAGGTTAAAGGTTACCATTGGCTGGGCAGAGGAAAAAAAGTCTCTCTTAGTGCATTCAGGAGGTTGTGGTGATTTATATACCTTTATTTGTTATACACTCCTGGAATGGGGTCAGAATCAGGCAATGAGGATTAAAGATCATTTTCAGTCCAGTGTAGCTATATGAAATAAAAGCCTATGA